TACGTGAATTAATTTTGGAGACATAATTTCCCCAAGATTGTCGTTTGTTTTGTTAATAGGTACGACGCGCCTTTGCATTGAGTATTTTAAATTTATTTAAGTTATGGACAGATGGATGAAGGCCGAAATAATGCTCTGCCTTTTTCCTCGCTTTTCTCGCTTGTCTACAATCTGTATTAAACCATGCTTTTCGTACATGTGACGTCGTAGATGACTTTGGTATACACTCATCAGCTATTTCATTTAAAACGTCAGCAAATGTTTGAATGGGATCAGTTATATCACTGAAACATTCAGGTCGCAGTTTCGATTTACAAATAGTTTGATATAAAGACCAGTTAGCCTTCGAAAAGTTCCAACTTGTATACGATGGAGAATCAGACGGAGTTATTTCTGAAAGGATAGTTGGGAAGTGGTCACTTCCACAAAGGTCATTATGAACAGACCAATCAAATTCATTCAGGAGGTTAGAATCTGCAAGAGACAAATCCAGGGAACAATAAGTGCCAGTTGCAGGAAGCAGATAGGTGCTTGAATCATCATTAAATATGCACAGGTCATTATTGGAAATTGAATCTTTAAGTATTTTGCCTTTAGTATTAGTGTTAGTACTGCCCCAGAGTGGGTTGTGACCGTTTAGGTCACCCATAATAACACATGGTTTCGGGAGTTGATCATAGAGTGATTGAAGATGAGTCCGTTGAAGTGCCGATGAAGGCGGAATATACAGAGAGCATAATGTAAATGCCACGCCCAGAGTAAGTCGCACTGCAACAGCTTGGAGATTAGTGTTAAGTGTGACAGCACTGTGATTAACATTCTTTCGTATAAGGATAGTAGAACCTCCAGTGGCTCTATCACCTGGAGGGGAAAAATAATGATAGGCTTCAAACTGATGTAAGCTAAAATTATCTGTCTGTTTCAGATACGTCTCTTGCAGACAGAGCGCTGATGGTGTTAAATCCTTGATTAATAGCTGTATTTCATTAAAATTTGGCTGCAGTCCTCTACAGTACCACTGAACCATGTGTTTAGATAGACCTATCTTTTCGGTGGAGTAATAGGGTATCTACCCCGCACTTTTTTCTAGGGCGACAAGCTTTGTGCCCTAGAGTGGACGTTTTCGGACACGTCCATGTCCTCAAGTGATCCGTATTTGTTAAATAATTTGATTTTATCTTCTGATTCTTTTGGTGCTCTGCCACTTTGTATTTTCGAAGAATCTGGCTTCGGTTTGCTTTTGCTTTTGACGTTTGTGTTAGATTGAGACCTTTGAGATGAGAAAATGTGTCACGGTCATGGGATGGTTCTGCGTGGGTTTAGGCAGTGCAGGGAATTGATTCTGGCGTTTGAGTAGATGTTGCAGGTAAGGAAATAAGAGGAGCTTCTGATGTAACCCAAGTAAAGTTAGTTTGACAGCTTGCAGATGACTTTGTTAGTACTCTTGCTGTTGCTTCCGTCTTTGTTTCAGTTATCGAAGCAACGCTTTCTTTGTGTTCAGAGCTTTGGACCAGTTTCTTGGCATCTGCAAAACTGATGTTTCGGGTGAACTTTAGTTTGTTGATTTCCATTTGATGCATCCAGACAGGACCGACTTTAGAGAATGATGAGTGATCACCAGTGCAGTTTGTACATTTCTTAACATTACTGTCACAATCTTCTGTTGCATCTGTCTTTTCACCACAGTGAGACAATGTGCAAGTATTAACCCCATGACCGAACTTTGGGCATTTGAATCATCTAAGAGGGTTTGGAATGTATACTAGGGACATAAAGAAACTGTGCATACACAAATATAAAAACACCATTTCTGCACTGGTGAGACGCTACCAGAACACAAATGACGTCATCGATCGGCCACGTTCTGGACGTCCACTTATAACAACGCCAAGACAGGACAGATGGATGAGGATGACCCAGCTTCGCCACAGGTTTCAGACTGCAGTGATGACTGTCCGAACCATCCCAGGACTTCGCCGTATCCACCTCAACACAGTTCGACAACATGGGATCAGACCACGACGCCCCGCCATACGGCCTTTCCTGACACACCGTCATCGACAAGCTCGCCGAATGTTGTGCCGAAATCATGTCCGCAGACCCTTGTTTTGGTGGAGAAATGTTGTTTTTACAGATGAGTCCTGGTTTAACATTTCCCATAGTGATGGACAATAACGTACCTAGAGACGTGTGGGAGAACGTTATGCACAGGCCTGTGTCTTGGAGAGGAATCGCTTTGGTGGTGGTTCCGTGATGATTTGGGGTGGAATAACAGCACGCCAAAGAACTCCTTTGGTGATTGTTCAGGGCAACTTAACTGGTGTGGGCTACAGGCATCAGATTCTTCGACCTGTGGCAATTCCTTTTCTGCAACGTCATGGCCCTGGGTTAACATTCCAACAGGACAATGCCCGCCCTTATACGGCAATGGTTGCTATTGATTTCTTGCAACACCACAACTATGACTTACTGCCTTGGCCTGCAAATTCACCGGATCTCTCTCCAATTGAGCATGTTTGGGACGAGATGGATCGACGTCTACGCCGTCTTCCTCATCCGCCAGATAACGTCCTTGACCTTGCAACAGACCTTGAGAGAATCTGGCGTGACATCCCTCAAGCCTTCCCTGCGCGTTTGATAGGCTCTATGCATCGTCGATGCACTGCTGTTCTCAATGCCGATGGTGGACATACCTGTTATTGAGCTTGTGACATGGTCGTGTGACCCCTGTCCCGCTTGTGGACTCATTGTGACGTCATTGTGATGGACTTTTCAATTGAAATTCTCCCGACTTGTTATGGTCTCATGATCCCTCCATTAACGTTTATATGTACCTTTGGCATTGTTATCGTACTTATCAACTGGGATAATATTTTGACAATGGACAGTTTCTTTATGTGGCTAGTATACATGTCAACGTCGATGTATCCTGCTTTTAGTGATTTTGGAACATTTGGTGAAAAGAAAGAAAACAGATATGTATTTGATAGTAGCCTCGCTTCTACTGGTTGAGAAACGTTTGACATAAAGCACGCCTTGATCCTTCATCTCGGAGACGATGTCAAGTTCTGACATGTCAGCAAACAATCGATCGCGATCCCTAACTATTGCTTTGCTCGTGTTAAGTGTTTTGTGAGCTGAGACCGTGAACGGAATGCCAACAAAAGATTCAGTACTCATAACGTAGGTGGCCTGTTGCCTTTTTGCACACTCAACCAGAAAAAGCACCGGAACGTAATCGCTTGATGTTCTTAACATCAGCGGCAATGCCTTGTATACCCTTAACTACGGCGAAAGGATTCAACTTCAATGGTGTCTTGTCTTAAGTTTCAAATACAAGAAAACGGCCACTACTCAATTGAGTTGGGCAGTCTGTGGTCAGTTTCAACGGTTTCAGTGTCAAGTGGACGCTTGGTCTTTTTAGAGGGGATATGTAAGCCATGTTTAGTTATTTAGATTTCATCATCCGAGCTCCCCACCCACCACGGAGTATCACATGGGCAATGCTAAAAACAACGTGCAGCACCAAGGATACCCGGATGATATACTCCAGCAGAAAAATTAAAAGATTAACAATTCCACCAGATTGGCCCATGAACCACCGCCTTCTGGGCATATGTCAAAACATACATGTAATTAAGTATTTGAAATTCTCAGAGCAAGTAAATTCGCCAAGACTGAAACAAATCATGTCATCATATTTAAGAATTGTGTGCAACATTACACAGTTGTAGCACAGGGCGTGGCGTGACCAGCCGATTGATAGAACCGGGCCAGTTCTACCACCCGTCTAGGTGAAGTAAGGGGCGAAGTGGTGTGTTGGGCAAAAGGAACGCTATTCCTGGGACCAGTGCCCTCAACCACCAGTCTCCCGTCCTCCACCAACACAGGGGCGCAACCAACGGCAAACAGGTTGCCCAATTCGGTCTTACAGCAATGGGGTGCTGTGGACCACTATGCCCCCGGGTCCACACGGGGGGTTGAAGAGCTCTTAGCGTTACCCAGCACCCACCACGAGGAGGTGGCTCTTCACGGGTGCCTATTGACTTAGGAACTGTGATCATTGAAAAAGTAAACAGTAAATTAAGCGTTGCTACTGTTCTACCGTCCTGCTTCTTCACAGTGAAGCGCTTGCTAGAAGTGCGATTTCGATCTGCCAGTTCAGCAACTATTTGTTCAACTGACATATCTGATAAACAACGGGCTCTGTATCGAACAATTCCACTACAAAAGTTGAGTGTTTGAGTGATATTTTCCAAGTGATGCTGCAGTAAACCATTAGCTGATTGATGTCTCCTTGCACACTCAACAAGGAGATGGCCACCTCTAAGACATGAAACGTTCTTAACGTCTCCACGTATATACTGGATAGTCTTGGAAATCAAAAAAGGATTTAATTTAGGCGTCAATTAATAGTATTACTAAGCAGTGACAGACGTCAGGCTAAACTTAGTCACTGATTTTTCATAGTGGAATAGGGTGGCCAGGCTCGCTGGTTGGCACATGTCATCGTATCCCAATTGCGTTGAACGATGCTTATGATGTTGATCACTGGATTGTTTGGTCTAGACTCGATTATTTACAGACGATTATTTTATTGATTAAAAGCATGACATGCAGTATTGTTTCTCTATTGGTTTCTATCTTATATCACGCTATATTTATTGAGCAGTCCTTGTGGAGCATCATCCAACGATAGGGCCATTATTAGACAGTATCCATTGTCCAATGAGACGCCGGATCTGGTTTCGTGCTTCCTTCAGATGGACATTATCCTTGGGTGAAGACTTGAATAGATCCGCGACATGTCCAACCCCTTTAACAGTCAATGTGTGAGTGAGTGATTAATGTCATGGGGTACCGTGTGTAACCTAACTAAATTAGGAAACATGTACACGAGTTTATACTTTTGTACCATATGTATTTTACGTAATTGGAGAATGTAATGACGTACGCGGTATACTAATTACGCAGTCTATGGGAAATCCTGATGATGTAACTCATGTGATGATGACGGTGACTGTGTGAAATGCTAATGACGTACCCTGTATGATGATCACAGGGGATTTTGGGTTTGGATCCGTGCTGAAACCGTACTTGTGCCATGGATCATAGGACCCGTGTGTGTACACCACGTTGGTGGCCTGAATCCCCAGGCCTCCATAGTCCATCAACATCTGCTGCACGCCCCTGGTCAGCTGGGTCACGTTAAATGCTGGACCAAAGTAAGCTTGGCAGACTCGCACAACATAACTGTAATGTAAGAGATGCACAGTGTGAAATTATTTTCTAAATCATATTGGCTTCGTCAACATCTGATGCAGAAGAGGGATAGAGATCCAGGAGGCTTTAGCGTTGCAATTCGAGCGCCGTCTCTTTTGTTTGTTTGTAGTTTAAGGCCGTACTCAGCAATATTCCAGCTATATGGCGGCGATCTGTACATAATCGAGTCTGGACCAGACAATCTAGTGATCAACATTATGAGCATCGTCTACCCAATTTGGATGCGATGACAGATCCTGACAGGCATGGGTTGCTGAAAACCAAACCCGGATCTTCATGGGTGACGTCCCTTGAGCGTGCCAGTATCCAATGTTTTCTATGAAACCTCGCACAAGATCGAAGTGGTCACCATCTTGCACCTGCATCACTCAAGTTACATCCCCAGTTAATGATGGGGGCCGTGACAAACTGAAGCACTGTTCAAGGGGAGTTCATCATATCTCTTTCATCCGCTCTTAAATCTGCCAGGTGGGTAGAAATGTCAATATGGTTTGCAGATGTTCACACACACTACAAAACATCGTAATACACTACGAAACAAACTGTTATCGTACAATGCAGATCAGCATATTGTATTTCGAATAAATCTATGTGACCTAAAATTGTCAAAAAGTCACTTTTGTAATCAAATCACGAAATATGGCAATTGTTTGTTAACGACGAGAGCTGCATATATTCTAGTACTATATAAGTGAAAAACCCATTCCGCAGATTAAACAAAATACATTTATTACAAAAATCGTAAAGACCAACTAAAACATCAGTTGAAGTTTTGATCTCTTGTTTACTGTAAGGGTGGATATGAATTTACAACTAGTAATTAAATCTAAAACAGTTTAACTATAGATAACAATACAACATAAAAACAGGCTATAGAGCAACTGAGGGTAGATGGGTAGATGACCATACTAGGGACCATGGGGACTACAGTGCATTTGCTTCCTGCATGGATCCTAGCTGGATTTACACTATTCCTTCGGCTATTATCAATTTAAGATAATCTAGCCAAGAATTAAAAGAACACATATACTATGAATAAAAATAATAGTAGGTTTAATTTTTCATTGAATGCTTTGGGACTTACGTACCTTCTCAGGGGGACAATAATTTGACAATACTTAAACTCCCTTTGAGGGTCAACCACTAACAATCAGGGTGGACTCGGAGTGTGTAAATACAGTAGGTAGTGTGTGTAGATTACCTATCATCACAGCATTCGTGTCGTAACAAGGGCTGCAGCGTTAAACAACAACAAAACACCTGGATGACAACTTACTCTTCACTAACGACGTTTCCAAACGGCTGATTATCAGCCGTTGATGTGATGAAGACACCAAGCTGAGTGCACATTTGATACATCCACTGACGTCCTGCAAGAAATCTATCTTTAACGTCAATTGTTTACCTTCCAGATTTTGAAACGATAATATTTGGTGATTTCGGATAATACGATGTTATCAAGTTAATCTAGTTGACAAACTGAATTAAATACTAATACAAACGTCCTATGGTGGTTATCCGTGATAGGGTGTCAAATGAATTGCGTAAATACGTAAAAATTAGAACCCCGGTATATAGAACCTAATACCCTTGACCTGAGTACTAAACATCACTGAAACCACGTGTGCACAATTCTGTTTTGCATACCCTAGCGACGCACAAGTATAGCATCAAATGGGTGACCACAGTGGGACGTTTATACCATAGCCAAATGTCATACATGACGTCTTCCGGCTAGATGCTTGCTACTTACTGCTTACCTGGTGTCAGCCATATCTGTGGATTATCACGGATGGAATGTCACACACTAAATCCATAGAACATTTAAACTCTCTAAAGCAATGCAGACGTAATTGAAGTTGCCTAAGCTTATCAATGAATGAAAATCAGACAGGTATTCCGCCATCATCTGACCTTAGGTCGTTTCCACAGAGAAGCCACTCTTGGAATTCGACGTCACACGTGGATGGAAGTTATATCAAACAGGCCTGTCGCCCGCTGTATTTGTAAGAACACGCAAGAATAGGTATGATTACTTATTATATAGTGTAACCCCTGGGGAACGGAAAAGAACAATAAGTTATTACCGAGAGCGATGTCTCCGCCTTTGTACGTGACGTTCTTGGCGTTATTTACCAAGAAGGTGAAGGTCACGTTATCACAAGGATCTCTGAGGTTTGTATAGTTGTTGTAGACGATTGCGTGATAGTCCGCCAGGCGGGATAGGGGGAGTTTCCCTGCTTGTGTCTGTCATCACCCGACACATGGACGATACAGAGAGTTGTCGATCTGTCTACAACACACATGCAAACAGCTATACACTTTATACAAGACTATATTGGATATTTTGCTTCGGAATGCGCACTTCTGTTTCTGAGGAGCGTTTCGAGTTGATGAGCTTTGATGTGATTCTTTTTAGTTGTAATCGTAAACTATTCAACCATGTGAATGCAAAGAGAGTGATGTTGTCTGATTTTTTTATGGTCACACTGTCGGTGTTATCAGCAACCTTCATCGCACATGGCGGGTTGTATATTATTCACACATGTGTGCCTCTTTGACGGATATGCTACGGTGCACATTTTACGTATATCAAGCTCCACAAGAAACATTGGGCTTGCTGTTGTATTTTCGGATGTTCTCTGGATATTCCAAGTGTTGTTGAAATTGGTAGTGGTGGGGGTGTGGGGGTGGGGGGTTCGAGAAAATCACCTCTCAGATTTTACCCCTCCCAACAAAAATGTGTAAAAAATAAACAAAAAATGAATATGTTGAGGGTCGAAACAACATTGATTAACTTCTCCGTTCGGGGTGGAGCAAGAAACATCAGAGATACTCAGCATGGGGGGATGTTGGTGCGACAAATAACGTGTCCCTCAAACAACACCCTTCAGGGCAACCAACCACCACCGCCTGGTTTTAATGTACTGAATTACAACATGTGCACTGCATACTTACCAAGTACCCCATATTATCGTTACTGTACTGTGCTGTGTTAATGATTGGAGACAGCAGTCCATTCATCATGTTCTCCACATCGAGCTTGTTTGTGCGATCAAAAGCACACAACCTGGAAACAGCAGACAGGACAAGATTGAGTTTACATTAAGTGAGTGACCACCAATGAATAAATGAATGAATGAATGAATGAATGAATGAATGAATGAATGAATGAATGAATGAATGAATGAATGAATGAATGAATGAATGAATGAATGAATGAATGAATGAATCCAAATAACAAATCCAAATAACAAACACGCCACAATCAGTGCGCGTGTACCCCATCAGAGTGGTGCTACTATCAACCACTGGTTTTACTGACCATGGTTCCAGTATTGACAGAATCGCCTGGATATAGCTACGGTATTCCTGACTGTGTGAATAATATATGATTGGAACAAGCAAATACATAGGATACTAAATGGGATGACGTCTCACCTGAAGAGTGACTGCAGGTGTTGGACTCCGGCGTCATCCTTGAGATGCTGCCTAGCATCACTAAATGCATCAGCTACTGCCTGGTAACATCCGGGCACAGAGCGGAGAGATTCGCCAATACTTACTAAGAATTCTGCGAATGACAAGGTGATGGTATTCAATCCTTAAATTCCCCTTTAATAATGACAAATATAGAATAATAGTCAAGGAATAGACGTCTAAGGCGAGCAATTCTCAGCACCTCGTATCCAAATGCATCTGTTGTGGTAAGCATGGATTAGTTGTGTTCCATATGGATTAGAGCCAGATGTGGGGAACATGTATATATTTGCTGTAACTGATAGGATAGTTGTGTTGGACTTGAACTTGCTCGTTTGTTCATCAACTGTGTTCTACGTGTCTTTGAACTGTTCTGTTGGACATGACCTGGCTTTGGTTGACTTGAGCGTGCTGGTTTGGACAAGAAGTGTCTGTGTAGGACGTAAACTGGCTTACTGAACCTTGACGGTCTGTATATGTGTTGTATATCGGTACCTGTTCTTGTGAACATTAATAGCAGTTGAGATGAACTTAAACATACAGTGTGTAAATGATGTGAGCATGTACACACGACCAATCTGTGTTAGACATGACTGACTGAGTTTGGTTTTACGCCGCTTTTAGCAATATTCCAGCAACATCACGGCGGGGGACACCAGAAATGGGCTTCACACATTGTACCCATGTGGGGATTCGAACCCGGGTCTTCGGCGTGACGAGCCAACGCTTTAACCATTAGGCTACCCCACCGCCCCATGTTGGACATGAACAAACGGTGGTGGACATGAATATAATGTGGTGGACACAGGCTATGTGTGGATGACCTCATCCTGCTTTGTTTGCTTTTGTAAACAGTAATCTTACCAGGGGCAAACGCAGAGAGAGCAACTGGTGCGCTGGATGCTATTGCCCCGGCAACCAGATGAGGGAACTTGTAGCGTACATAGGCGGACAACAAGCCTGTAACCAAAGATAAGGTGATATAAGCATCATTCTACAAGCAGCAAGGGACATGACGGGCTTTACGTTTATCCATATACATCAAAAATAGACCACACCATCATAGGGGCAAGCATATGGCTAAAACGGTTACTAATGAGTGAATGGTGTTTCAAGCCGCAGATTGCGTCAGTCAAGTTGTACACCCAAGGGGAAGATCTAAGCAACTCTTTCTCTAATTTCCTTTTAAACAGACTTAAGTAGATTTATAACTGTAATTGTATCATGATTTTGTTTAGAATGTGACATACTAAAATTAAAATACATAAACCGAAATCGGTTATGTGCTGACACGTTTTAGCAATCGAAGATGACGTCATTCAGTGTTGTCAGTTGAGTCATTATGTTCAGTGTTACCAAACTAGACTATAAATAACGCTTTGGAAGCTGCCTCTCGCACTAATATGAATTACAGGACAGGTGTCTTCGGAAGGTCGGTGGTAAATTCCACTGACGACATTATACCAAAATAAGGTCGTACTTGTTGGCACTGAGGGGGTTTAGGGTATAAAACAATGCATGTTCGACCTACACAGAATGGGGTATCGATGACACCGCGTCGGCCACAGATACAATGCATGAACGTCGTACGTCTTGCAAATATTTTGAACGTGACATTGAACCCAAGGTGACCTCAACCGAACGGTACTCATTCTGCGTTGATAACCATTCCTCGTCCTGATGTCACTTGCGGTGTACTTATAACGTGTATTTAAGTGTACCTAAATTTAACACGAGTGAGTATTGTTTTATGCTGCTTTAGCAGTGAATGTGATTGAGTTTGTTTCGTTTTACGCAGTTTTCAGCATTATTTCACGGCAGGGTACACCAGAAATAGGCTTCACACATTGTATCCGTGTGGGGAATCGGACGCTTTCACCACGACGCTTCCCAACTGCCCTAAAATCAGCAGGACATCTCACCGCGAGAATTTTTACTTTGATGTTTTGAGTATGATCACGAATGCCGATTACCCATCACCGGATTACTGGTTAGTGTTGGCACTTAGTGAATTGTACCGGTCTCAAAGAATGAGTAAAGTGGATTGACTGGCTGGTCAGGTGATTATGTTGCTTCAATGACATCGTACCCCGACGTGCCCCGTTGGTGTGGGGTGACGTCCATGCGATCAACCATTAGTTCAAATGAACTTTACAAACAGGGAAATTAGATCAGATGAAAAAAATGTGCTCTGTTACTCACTCAAACTGGCGGGTGGTAGGGCAGCCATGCAGTCTATGTGTTACTTTTTATGCTGATGGTCAGGGTTCGATTCTCACCTGGATACAAAGATACTGCCCATTTCTGGTGTTCCTGCAAACCATCGCCTGTGTATTGACTTTACCTGCATAAGACCCTCCGAATGTGACCCACTTTGTGTCAGAGAGATTGTGCTCCTTGGTCGCTACTACTATGAAATTGGCGACGTCTTCCAAGGCTTGTTCTACAGTCAGATACTGAAGGTTACTTGTCCTCAGGTCGCTGCCAACACACAGTAAACACACTAAACATACCCAGCACCCAATCCTATAAATCTAAAACGCGCTAGATGTAAACTCCAGGGCAACAGAAGGTATACACCTGAAAATTTGACTTCATCCCAAAATTGTAATAAACAATTCAAAACGTTTCCATCATAAGAATCTCCAAAACACGCCAAAATTAGATCGAAACGCACCTGCAATACCCATATATGGTTATATCACCTGGAACAACAATTTGTTGCTTAGTTCAATTAAAGCCACCATCATCACTGGGTGTATACTTCTATCCGGTATTGTATATTATCTGAATCTGTCTAGAAGTCATCCTCTCCTCACAGGGAGTTTTACGCTCCACTGCCTGGTACCCATTGTCGGTTTTGTTCCAGATTTTGACATTGTCCTAGTGTTAGCAGTCCCGCGTTACCGCTAAAAGAATGTAATGTAAAGGAATACTACACTAGGTCTTGTTTGTGGCGGGGACTATGTAGTGGGTGTCAAAACGAGGTCAAATACCCAGGAACCATTCGTGAAATGGTGTCTGTTGATAATGTGTGTAGTACTTAGTCAACAATTCTTTTGTTTGCTATACTCGATGTTTTACTCCTTCAAGTTAATGAATTGTATTGTTTATGTAACCCACTTTGTATCAATTCATAGTAACTGAAGCTACCGGCTTCATCGATCATACCAATGCAGAATTCAACTCATTTTACTCCAAAGTAGTATTAAATGCAGTTTTACTATGGAATCCATTAACGCCGAGAAACGAGTCAATGTTTACTGAAGCACGACAATGCAAAAATGCGACCATACATTATCTCAACCACGTTGAAATTATGACCCCTCCATGTCACCTTTAATATACGAGTAGTGAATGAGTTTAGTTTCACGCCACCTTTAGCAATATCCCAGCAATATCACGGCTGTAACATAATAGCAAGAAGACGAATTAGAACAGAACAGCCATAATAATAATAGCAATAGTTATGATTTTGCGACCGGAACAGCGTTCGAAATTAACGTCGGCCCTTAGGCCCAAAGCCGACTGAAAACCACTCGGACCCACAACGTTTGTTTTCTGCAGGTCCTCATGGCCGACAGCTTTTTCATCCCCAATAACTCAGGGTATCATTTCCATATTGAAATGTAGGCCATGGGTTAGTAAGATATATTCTAACCCGCATCTTCACGGGTCCATCAAGAAGACTGAACTGCCATAAGTCGTCATAAACAATCAGCACAGGTTGCCCTGGATCTAATCAAGCCTGCATTCCCCACAAAGAGAAATACCATCAATTAATGACAGATACTGACGATGTGGGGCGACTGTCTCCATAATATCGATGTTCCACAGCAAAGCCAATAGCATGGTATGACTGAAGGTAATCCATCCAGGCCCCCTCCTGCACGAACACCCCCAGGGCACCCTCTCCCCCTATGGTCAGGAAGGCTGGACCGCCTGGCTTGTAGAACTTGTCAAAGACGTAGTATCTCTGAAACATGCAGGGATGTGAAATGTGGGGAGTGTAAGCACGGAAACATCTTTTCGCACTGATACAGCACAGATATACAGCGTAGAGCACATGCATACAGCTTACATCACAGTTTACAGCTTTTAGCACCGATATACAGCTTACGGTTCAGATCTATATTACAGTACACAGATAATTAGCGTACAGCAGATATACAGCTTATAGTACGGATACACAGCTTTAAGAACAGTTATACAGCTTATAGCAACGATATACAGCTTATGGCATAGATTTACAGCTTACAACACATATATATAGCTTACAGCACAGATATATAGCTTACAGCACAAATACACAGCTTTAAGAACAGATGTACAGCTTATAGCACAGATATACAGCTTATAGCATAGATTTACAGCTTACAACACAGATATATAGCTTATAGCACATGCATACACCTTACAGCACTGAAATTAAGCTTAAAACACAGTTTACAGCTTTTAGCACCGATATACAGCTTACGGTTCAGATCTATATATTACAGTATCTGACTCCTTACAACACAGATAATTAGCGTACAGCAGATATACAGCTTATAGTACGGATACACAGCTTTAAGAACAGATATACAGCTTACAGCAGAGATATACAGCTTATGGCAAAGATATACAGCTTACAGCACGGATATTTACTTTCTACACATATATACAGCTTACAGTATAGATATACAGCTTACAGCACAGATATACAGCTTACAGCACACATATATACAGCTTACAGCACAGATATACAGCTTACATCACAGATATACTGCTTACAGCACAGATGTACAGATTACAGCACCGATACACAGCTTACATCACAGATATACAGCTTACATCACAGATATACAGCTTACATCACATATATACTGCTTACAGCACAGATATACAGCTTACAGCACAGATATACAGCGTACAGCACAGATAAACAGCTAAGAGCACATATATACAGCGTACAGCACAGATAAACAGCTAAGAGCACATATATACAGCTTACAGCAAAGATATACAGCTTATAGCACATATATACATCTTACATCACAGATATACTGCTTACATCACATATATACAGCTAACAGCACAGATATACAGCTTACGGCACACATAAACAGCTAACAGCACAGATATACAGCTAAGAGCACGTATATACAGCTTACAGCAAAGATATACAGCTAAGTGCACATATATACAGCTTACATCACAGATATACTGCTTACAGCACAGATATACAGCTTACAGCACATATATATACAGCCTACAGCACACATATTTACAGCTTACAGCACAGATATATAGCTTACAGCACAGATATATAGCTTACAGCACAGATATACAGCTTACAGCATAGATATACTGCTTACATCACAGATATGCAGCTTACAGCACATATATACTGTTTACATCACATATATATAGCTTACAGCACATATACAGCTTACATCACATATACACAGCTAACAGCACACATATATACAGCTTACAGCACAGATATACAGCTTACAGCACAGTTATGCAGCTTACAGCACAGATATACAGCTTACAGCACATATATACGGCTTACAGCACAGATATACAGCCTACGGCACACATATACAGCTTACAGCACAGATATACTGCCTACAGAACATATATACAGCTCACAGCACAGATATACAGCTTACATCACAGATATACAGCTTACAACATATACATATATACAGCTAAGAGCACATGTATACAGCTTACTTCCCATATATAAGCTTACAGCACATATATACAGCTAACAGCACAGATATACTGCTTACAGCACAGATATACAGCTTACAGCACATATATACAGCTAACAGCACATATATACTGCTTACATCACATATGTACAGCTAACAGCACATATATACAGCTTACAGCACATATATACAGCTTACAGCACATATATACAGCTTACATCACAGATATACAACTTACAGCACATATATACAGCTTACATTACAGATATACAGCTTACAGCACGCATATACAACTTACAGCACAGATATACTGCTTACATCACATATATACAGCTAAGAGCACAGATATATACAGCTTACAGCACAGATATACAGCTTACAGCACAGATATGCAGCTTACAGCAGTGATATGCAGCCTTGGAGAATTGTTGATTTGGCGGACCCAGGGACAGGAATGACCGACGTGAATAAGTTCAGAAGTTGAAATTGCTCATAAAATTAAAACCACTCCCAAGGCCTGTCGCAACCTATAGCTCATTCCTGTCAAAATGACTACCTGAACTGACAAGCTCCTACCTGTTTCCAGTATCGACTGTCGACAACATTAAAGTGGTCCAGCTTCTGGTGGAACCAGTGTTCAGAAGATATGGTTGGAGGCGGTGATGGAGGATCCCATGGTGGCCCGGTGGAATTCAGGGACCCCAGAGCATCTACTTCATACGCTGATAGGAAAATATAACTCCAAACCACAAAAATAAAATTGCCATGTTCCATTCTCTCACTCCCAATATCTCGAAGTGCAATTGCAGTATATGTGGCTACCGAGATACGAACGTTAGAAAATATACACGTAGACGGGAACAGAGGTGTGTGTACGGAAGGTCATAGCTTGTATTTACTTTAGATGATTGCTGTCTACCGACCTAGTTACGGCATGTTGATCTTAAATGATAAACGCATCGACACAGTGAGTCGTTCTGTTCAGGGCAACATCACATTCCTGAATGGTTGAAACAAAGATGCTTTATTCATAAAATACTATACAGTATAGAAACTTCAGAACTGACAAACATGGTACGTGTCTTTATGACGTACAGTAAGACGCCGGAAGGCTTGAGAGTTTCTTAAAACGTTTTTCACCCGTCGCATATGTAACATGCTACATTCTACCGTATAGATAATGGCGTAGTCTGTCATACATACCCTGAAACAAATATTTCCAAGAGAGCCCGTGCAAGTCTAGATAACCACAGTAGTTTCAGCCTCTGAAAATGTAGAAGGTTTCTGGGATCCTTTTTATTAGATTTTATGATTATAACTTAGGAACTGTGTAAATATGTTCATTTCAGAGACTAGATGTCAGTCTGGTAATGACTTTATAGTAGCCGAAAGGGACATGATAAGATTTCACAGTGATGCCATATCTGTCTTTCAGCTGGGCTGTAAAACGCATGCTTGTTTCTGGCAAAACAAAGGTTGATAGCATGGCCATTGTTCCACGCCGTGTTGTACGCTGACACAGAATAAGCGGGGTCACATATAGCAACGACTGTTTTATCCGTGTAGTCGTTATCTAATTAAATGGATACAAATTATTTAGGACAATACATTATTGCTTCTCGAGGGCATTTGTTCAGAAAAATATTCATCAGCACCATGAGGGCACATGACCTATTATTAACATACAGATATCAACATGAAACGTTTACATTTTACAAAATATGTTTTTCATTGAATTCGGAGAGACACCAGAAATGTCCTTCACACATGGTACCCATGTATGAAATAGGGGTTCCCCTTTTCAAATTCTGCCTTTTGGGTCCATTAGGAGACATTAGTTACGATGTCATCATTGGCGTTTACTTGTGGCTCTTGTTTTAAAAAAATATATGTTTATAATTCAGTCAAACATTGTGTAGATATTCTTGAACACAGGCATGCATGAATGAATGAATGGATGGATGGACGGATGGATGGATGATCCCCAGTTCAACTTCAGGCAGTATGTTTCTGCTTATTGATCCTCCCTCGATACACATAGACGTTGGCACAAGGTTTCACAGCAGAACGATTCCACATTAAAACGTGTCTTTATGATTTATTTTTCCTTTAATGGTATCGTCCTTCCGCTGTAAAACACTTTCTTTTATTTTTCGAAATGAGTAATGTATGTTATTTGTATACGAGAGACTAATAAATTCAAAATGTGCGCTTGCAGAAATATAAGCATTTTTCAGTAAAGAACATGGAATTTTTTTGTTTATTTTCTGTTCAGCGCCTACTCAAATCTATGCTAGCTGTGACAAGGCGGTCAATACATGAGTTTGAACCTGAAAATCCAGGGATATAGCGAACAACGATTCCCGTCTCCGGATACGAAGAAAGCCAACCAAATAACCAACAGGCAAACACCCGATTCTTTATGTCTCCTCTTACGACCAGCTTTTGTTGCTGACGCTGGAATCTCTATGGCGTAGGACCTGCCTCTTTCTCCTCTTCTTAAGGTGTTGAAAAGTGTATACACATTTTAATCATGATGTACAGTGTCTTGTATATGTATTGCTATAAGCTGTACAGTGTCTTATGCATTTATTACTATAAGCGTCAGCATGTTAAGAGCGTCTTTCATCATGTCAGAATTATGTAATCTTTAAAAGCATTGCTATCATTAAAGCATTGCAATCAATAAAGCATTGCTATCATTAAAGCATTGCAATCATTGTTGTTTCGACTTCAAAAGCAACATAGAGACCATTTAGAACAGGCTTAGTGCCCATCACGTACTTATTTGCCATTTATATACTTCCCCTCCAGCCACCAATGTCAGCGTTATGACTCGACATAAGCTTTAGCCTTGTCTCAATATCAGCTTTAGCCTTGCGTCAATATCAGCTCTAGCCCTGCATCAATATCAGCTTCAGCCTTGCATCGATATCAACCTTAGCCTTGTATCGATATCAGCTCTAGCCTTGTCTCAATATCAGCTTTAACCTTGCATCAATATCAGCTTTAGCTTTGCATCGATATCAGCTTTAGCCTTGCCTCAATATCAACCTTAGTCTTGCCTCAATATCAGCTTTAGACTTGCGTCCATATCAGCTTTAGCCTTGCATCAATATCAGCTCTAGCCTTGCATCGATATCAACCTTAGCCTTACATCCATATCAGCTTCAGCCTTACATCAATATCAGCTTCAGCCTTGCCTCAATATTAACCTTAGCCTTGCCTCAATATCAGCTTTAGCATTGCCTCAATATCAGCTTTAGCATTGCCTCAATATCAGCTTTATAATTGCCTCAATATCAGCTTTATAATTGCATCGATATAAGCTTTAGCCTTGCATAGATGTCAGCTTTAGCCATGCATCAGTTGATGCAGCCTTGTCTTCGCGTCGATATCAGCTTACAATTGCATTGATATCAGCTTTAACCTTGCATCAATATCAGCTTTGGCCATGCCTCAATGTTAGCTATAGCCAAATCAGCAACAACATCAGTTGTAAATCAATATCAACCTTAGTCCAATATCAGTATCATTATTAGTTCTGTGTCAATAACATCCACTGCCATCAAGGTGAACCACTCGTCACTATCAACCTTAACTGGACATCACTATCATCACCGGAGTTTCAACATTAAAGTTACCCATAAATGAATACCAGCCAAACTGTTATGTTTTCTCCAGCCATGCATCAATATCAGCATCAGGTGTGCATCGATATCAGCAACAGTAGCAACAACAGCTGTTAATCAATTTCAATCCCACCTTGTCACAAATCAATACCACCGTTATGTATGGAGCATTTACAGTTTTCAGTCGTCAGTGACGGGACATCCATGCAACTCATATCACCAAGAGCAGTACTCAAAGTATGTCCCCGATTTTACTATTTTTCACAGTATCAGGTTAAAAAGAACTTGCAGATTCCTTTGGCTTTAAAGTGTTCAACAAGACGTTAACACAGTTCTTATGTCCCCTGTACGTGGCTTTGTGCAGAGGTGTGTCTCCTCTCTTGTTCTTCACTCGAAGATCCGCCCCAGCATTCAGCAGAAGCTCAACGTTTTCCGTAGAGCCATACTCTGCTGCTCTGTGTAGGGGCGTGTCGCCTCTATTGTCCTGTACGTTTACATCTACCCACATCCTAGAACTCCCATCCCAACCATTCTCATCTGGGAGAAACATGCTACTGTTATCGATACCTTGTTCCAACATCTGCTTGAGACTCTCGTAGGAGGTTCTCCCGGCTCTGTGAAGCGCTGTTGAACCCCTTCTGTTCTGGATGTTCACATCAGCATCAGCCTTCAACAATTCACCAACACAACTGCAATGACCCCTACCAGCGGCTTTATGGAGTGGGGTGTTACCTATCGCATTCTGTATGTTAACATCAACCATATCCTTCATCAATGCAGCCACACTCTCTGAAACTCCCATCTCGGATGCTGCATGGAAAGCTGTGTCGCCTGCCATGTTCCTCAGGTACCGACTAGCTCCCGCTGCTAACAGTACGTTTACATATTCTACTGACCGTCTTTTAGCAGCTCGGTGAAGGGCTGTGTTTCCTACTCTGTTTCGATCGTTCACATAGGCTCCGAACTTTAATAACAGTCTTAATGATTGTACGGAGCCTCTCTCGCCAGCTATGTGGAGTGGTGTGTCACCAGCATTGTTCTTGAGATTAGCATCAGCTCCAGCCTCAAGAAGCAGCTCCACGCAGTCCACAGATCTCCTTCCTGCTGCCTTGTGGAGTGGAGTGTCACCCTGGATGTTCTGAGAGTTCACATTGGCTCGAGATTCCAACAAGAGCTCAACGTTATATTCCGACCCAAACTCGGCTGCTATGTGAAGAGGCGAGTCACCTTTATTTTTATACATCATAGCACAACCTTTCCACCTCTTTTTACTTCTGTTCTTTTTCAGTTACCAACTTCTTTTGTTGTTCTGTAAATGTCGGTTTCTGTGCACACTGGGTTGTTGGCCCTGCTTCTGGAATCTGGAAATACAGTGTTATTGGGGTATCGTTTTATTGTACATTCACGTCATCGAACGCTGTTACATCTAACGTTACAGTTTGTACCATATGTCATGATATGCTGTTGAATATCACGTTGTATGTTTAATCGTACGTCATGATATGCTGTAGAATATCACGTTGTATATTTAATCGTACGTCATGATATGCTGTAGAATATCACGTTGTATGTTTAATCGTACGTCATGATATGCTGTAGAATATCACGTTGTATGTTTAATCGTACGTCATGAAACGCAGCTGCATATAATGTTACACAATTAACCGTACGTCATGAGAGAGTGAGTAAATGAGTGAAGATTTTAAGTCACATCGGCAATATTTCAGCCATATCTTGACCATTAACAAGTTATAATGTCATAATAAGTCATTATAAAAACCTGTCGGCGAAAGAAAGTAAAAATAGCTAGAATAACACAGATATAATCGTAAAACTAGGAAAATCTAAAATATCTTAACTATGAAAGATAATACAATATAAAAAAGTTGCTTTAGATCGCCAACAACAGACGGCCGATCACCATACTAGGGACCATGGGGACTTACAGTACCTTTGCTACCAGCATCAATCCTAGCTTGATTTACATCATCTCTTCAGCCATTGGCGATTGTAGTCAAATTAGCTATACTTTAAAATAACACACATTCTACGATTAAACACACGTGGTATGAAGAATCCTTTGAATGAAATGGGACTTACATCCGTTCGTCATGTTATCCTGTTGCATTTTACGCTACACGCGTAGCCCTACGTCATGAGAGGCTGTTGCATTTTACGTTACCGTTCAACCGTACCTCATGAGAGGCTGTTGCATATATCGTTACCGTTCAACCGTACGTCATGAAATACAGTTGCATATATCGTTACCGTTCAACCGTACGTCATGAAATTAATGCAGTTGCATATATCGTTACCGTTCAACCGTACGTCATGACATGCAGTTGCATATATCGTTACCGTTCAACCGTACGTCATGAAATACAGCTGCATATATCGTTACCGTTCAACCGTACGTCATGAGAGGCTGTTGCATATATCGTTACCGTTCAACCGTACGTCATGAAATGCAGTTGCATATATCGTTACCGTTCAACCGTACGTTCAACCGTACGTCATGAAATGCAGTTGCATATATCGTTACCGTTCAACCGTACGTCATGAGATGCTGTTGCATATATCGTTACCGTTCAACCGTACGTCATGAAATTAATGCAGTTGCATATATCGTTACCGTTCAACCGTACGTCATGAAATGCAGTTGCATATATCGTTATCGTTCAACCGTACGTCATGAAATACAGCTGCATATATCGTTACCGTTCAACCGTACGTCATGAGAGGCTGTTGCATATATCGTTACCGTTCAACCGTACGTCATGAAATGCAGTTGCATATATCGTTACCGTTCAACCATACGTCATGAAATTTATGCAGTTGCATATATCGTTACCGTTCAACCGTACGTCATGAAATGCAGTTGCATATATCGTTATCGTTCAACCGTACGTCATGAAATACAGCTGCATATATCGTTACCGTTCAACCGTACGTCATGAAATGCAGTTGCATATATCGTTACCGTTCAACCGTACGTCATGAAATTAATGCAGTTGCATATATCGTTACCGTTCAAACGTCTAAGAGTCTGTGTGACCTTGAGACACTTGTGCGTGACTATCAAAGGCAAACTCTTGTATGTACGTCAAGTGACACTCTCGCATACCTAAACCACGCGGCCACCTATCATTCGCAGATTTCTCATGATCAAGTTATTGATTTCTTATACTTGGGCTCAATTACAACAAATGCGTATTCTCGTGGCTTGTCACCCCGGTGCGGTAAGCAGATAGGTATTCCAGATAACACGTTAGGGATCACTAGCGAGGGCAGAAGCTATACACTAACGCCAAAAGAAACTTTACCCTTCTTCCTTTACGAATTACTTAAAACTATCAAAGATATATTAGAAGGTTTTAGTTGACAAGAAAGCTTAACAACCCAGTTTTATTCAAATCACAAAAACAAATTCTCCAATGTATTCATATTAAGGGGAAATGCATCTTTTTCAGAATAGTTAAATTGTCCTATTTTCGACCATGCCGAAACAAACCAATAACAGTGATTTAGATGTCCAAACGAAAGGATGAAATAAAAGTCTGCTTTGAGACAAAGTAAACTATTTAAAGTTACCATTTTTCTACTATTAAAACAAGATACAACTGTTGTAGAGTGTGTAAAATTGTAAAAATCATTCCTATGATTTCAGTCTTTAAATCATTTTCTGCTGATTTGCATTAGTGAAAACAAGTAAAACGTGTCTTTGATTCTGTGAAAAAGTGTTTCGGCACATCAAAAATTATATTTGTTAACATATTTGCTTGCAAAGTAACATTTTTCAATTTTCTGTTTATACATAGCAACATCAATCGCCAAAACGTAGCAATATACAAGCAGTATTTTCATCCATTTCACGTGTAGAATGATTCTATAGGGTATAAAGAGAGACTATCATGCATGATATGATAAACAACTACGAGATATATGCTACCATTAAAAGCTGCAGAGTGAGAAAGAGCCATTGGGATGGTGCAGATGGGGTCGACATACAATGCGGTTGCCAGCGCCTTCAGATGCCACCGTATCACGGTTATAAGACTTATTCAGTCCTACAGACAGACTGGGGTCACCGTAGACAGACCAAGAAGTGGACGTCCACGCATCACAACGTCAGCTGAAGATAGGTACCTCCGTCATTAAGGAAGGAGGGTGACTTTCCTTTTGGCGTAGTGCTGGCAAGGGGAGTATTTCCTCCTGGGTGGAACTCGGTAAGGTTCTGGGCTGTCACACGTCTCTAAGATATGGATGTTGATTTTCAGATTATATGGGCCTGCAGTTTCTTTATACATGTGTTGGTGTACTTAATGCTTTCTGCAATGGCATACTGTGCAACATGTTAGCGTATAGAAGGTCGAAAATCATAATTATTTAAACACATGCCATCATTTTGCAGGAGGGACTCCTTACGATTGTTCCCTTACAAAAAGTGCTGATTTTACATGTGATTTGTTCGTAGTCGTGTGGAGCGTCAGCACAGGGAGAAAAAGGTCGTTGTTCGATTCCCGGTTGTGTCACACCAGAACACGACATAGTTTGATACTTATTGATTCCCTTCAGTAAGGCTCTAACCCCCCTTCGGCTTCGCATACAACCGGGCTTCGCATACTGGGCGGCTCAGTATCGTGTGTGTAAGTAGAGTGGGCTAGCACAATTGAACTAGACTAAACACACACACACACACACACACACACACACACACACACACACACACACGCACGCACACACACGCACGCACACACAAACGAAGTTATTCCACATGACGCTCCACCTCACCACCATGCTTGGCGTTTGTAAATATTGCTGCAAGACACACACACACACACACACACACACACACACACACACACAGCGAAGCTATTCTACACGCCACCATGCTTGACGTTACCTGTTGCTGAAAGACACACACACACACACACACACGAAGCTATTCCACATGTTGCCTCATCTACACACCACCGTGCTTGACGTTACCTGTTGCTGAAAGACAGACACATACACACTACACGCACACACACACACACACACGAAGCTATTCCACATGTCGCCTCATCTACACACCACTGTGCTTGACGTTACCTGTTGATAAACACACACACACACACACACACACACACACGAAGCTATTTCACATGTCGCCTCATCTACACACCACTGTGCTTGACGTTACCTGTTGATCACACACACACACACACACACACACACACGAAGCTATTCCACATGTCGCCTCATCTACACACCACTGTGCTTGACGTTACCTGTTGCTGAAAGACACACACACACACACGCACACACACGAAGCTATTCCACATGTCGCCTCATCTACACGCCACCATGCTTGACGTTACCTGTTGCTGAAAGAAGCACACACATCACACACACATGCACACACACACACACACACACACACACACACACGAAGCTATTCCACATGTCGCCTCATCTACACATCACTGTGCTTGACGTTACCTGTTGACACACACACACACACACACACACACACACACGAAGCTACACACACACACACACGAAGCTATTCCACATGTCGCCTCATCTACACACCACCATGCTTGACGTTACCTGTTGCTGAAAGACACACACACACACACACGAAGCTATTCCACATGTCGCCTCATCTACACACCACCGTGCTTGACGTTACCTGTTGCTGAAAGACACACACACACACACACCACCATGCTTGGCGTTTGTAAATATTGCTGCAAGACACACACACACACACACACACACACACACACGAAGCTATTCTACACGCCACCATGCTTGACGTTACCTGTTGCTGAAAGACACACACACACACACACGAAGCTATTCCACATGTCGCCTCATCTACACATCACCGTGCTTGACGTTACCTGTTGATGACACACACACTATTCCACACACACACACACACGAAGCTATTCCACATGTCGCCTCATCTACACACACCACCATGCTTGACGTTACCTGTTGCTGAAAGACACACACACACACACACACACACACACACACACACGAAGCTATTCCACATGTCGCCTCATCTACACACCACCGTGCTTGACGTTACCTGTTGCTGAAAGACACACACACACACACACACACACACACACACACACACGAAGCTATTTCACATGTCGCCTCATCTACACACCACCGTGCTTGACGCTACCTGTTGCTGAAAGAGGTCAGTCTGTTCCAAGTGAGTGATCATGGTTTCACAGCGGATTTCGAAGCATATCCAGAATTAAAACAGGTCGGCCAAATGTGGTACTACCATCACTCTGGACTGTGGACACCCACAAAAACGTCCCCCTTCTGTCCATGGCACTGATCATGTGCACACACACGATAAACACACACTCAACAACCCTTCACAAACGCTGCCTTTCCTCAACATACAAGCACAGAAACACGTCACATATACTTACCCTGCGGACATTAAAACAACCATCTGTTTCTCCCACGTATATTGGAGATCTCAGTCTAGCCAAGCTGCCTTTTAGATAAGCGTGCCTCACTCCCTCACACAGCATTAACACACGTACCAAACTACATACACTAACCAACATACCTGTGAAGCTAGTGACAGTAGAAGTCAGTCTGTGGCGAGTTGACATCGACAGACATCAGCGAGGCGACTTGCGTCGACTACAGCATACACATGATAACAATCATACCGTGACAGTCGCCGCTGGGTCAATAGGGTTCCCATACGCTATGAATGCTGAATAGATGTTTTCTGTAACGGCCTGTCATACTCTTTACAACATGGCGCAGTATTGTGTGTAATCACCAAACCGGTTACATTCCATGCTGTCAATGGAAGCCGTATATCTACACAATGACAAGATAGCTGTAGGCACGTATAAAGGCCTGTCTATTGTGAGCACACACTTGAGTAATGCAGCATGATACAACGCAGGGGCTTCAGTATGTAGGGAGGTGTGGGGACATGGTGGGACAACAGGTAGAGATAGTGTAATGTTAACGTCATCTATCCAGTCTGGATATGATATATGGCAGCAAGATCAACGATCTGGGGAGTTGATTATGTTGATAGGTGTATTTGTATCTGCATTCGTATCTGCACACAAATGTTATTCTCATAGTGTGGTTTGATAAGCGTATGTCAATAAAAATACACAAATACAGACTCCAGTATGTACTTGTTTAATTTTTGCAAAATATGTAACAAAAAAGAATCGGTGATGAATAATGTTATCATTATTGTTTGTTTTGGAACATTAGGTATGAAGTTTTTCAGACAACGTTTTGATTACCTCTATTATTGCTGTATCAAACCCAATTGTCTAGTGTCTACCTTCTTCTGGACGATAGTATAAAATGACATATCTGATTATATCAATCAATACAATTACTCACTGGATAATGATGAGTTGATCGAAAGGTTGGGGATACAGGGGTGATAATGTTAAGTGAGTCGAAAGGTTGGGGATACAGGGGTGATAATGTTAAGTGAGTCGAAAGGTTAAGGGATACAGGGGTGATAATGTTAAGGAGTCGAAAGGTAGGGGATACAGGGATGATAATGTTAAGTGAGTCGAAAGGTTAGGGGATACAGGGGTGATAATGTTAAGGAGTCGAAAGGTTGGGGATACAGGGGTGATAATGTTAAGTAAGTCGAAAGGTTGGGGATACAGGGTGATAATGTTAAGTGAGTCGAAAGGTTAGGGGATACAGGGTGATAATGTTAAGGAGTCGAAAGGTTGGGGATACAGGGGTGATAATATTAAGTGAGTCGAAAGGTAGGGGATACAGGGGTGATAATGTTAAGGGAGTCGAAAGGTAGGGGATACAGGGATGATAATGTTAAGTGAGTCGAAAGGTTGGGGATACAGGGGTGATAATGTTAAGTGAGTCGAAAGGTAAGGGATACAGGGTGATAATGTTAAGTGAGTCGAAAGGTAGGGGATACAGGGGTGATAATGTTAAGTGAGTCGAAAGGTTGGGGATACAGGGGTGATAATGTTAAGTGAGTCGAAAAGTTGTGGGATACAGAGGTGATAATGTTAAGTGAGTCGAAAGGTTGGGGATACAGGGGTGATAATGTTAAGTGAGTCGAAAGGTAGGGGATACAGGGTGATAATGTTAAGTGAGTCGAAAGGTTCGGGATACAGGGAAGATATTCTGTTCCGTACTTTGTAGAAACTGCAGAGACAGTAGATGTTTCCACACAATGTTTTCAAACAAAGGAGTAGGTGAGTGAGTGCTTTCGGTGGTTGGGTGGTTGGGTGATCGGATGGATGGGTGAGTGAGTGAGTGAGATCACACAGAGATTCACTGTAATTCTAGCATAAAGTTACGAGAACAGAGAACGGCAGGCAGAATCCATTGTCCCTGGTAGTCGCACTTTACCTCAGTAGTCTCCATCACATACTTGTAAGAACGTTCCCCAGCTGCTAGTGATATTTTCTAAAGACACACACTATACACATTGCGCCACATTTCTGACACGGAATCGTATTACTGAACAAGGAAACATTCAGTGCACATTACCATTCACTATAATCCACAGAACGTAATGAAGATCTTAATGACAATATATTTTTATGCAGGATTTTTTTTTCAGTTCGATATTTCTTGGAAAAGTGATGAATTCTTAATGATTATGTGACAGTCAAAATTTGTCAAGTCATCCGCTGAGCCGAACCGCCAAAGAAGGCTAAGTGATAGCTGCAGCCAACTGACACAATACACCAAGGATCATTTTGCCAGGACGTGCGGTGTGTATAATAATGGTTCCCTGTATAACAGTAATACTGTATATAATTTAGGTAATGTGTGTATCGTATTCCCATATATGTATCTTGTGTTCCTATTTCGTCAAACACACAGCTTGCTTGGTAAAAGGGGAGCTCTTCTGTACATGTGGCTGCTCTGTGTAGATGTAGGTAATGTGTGTATCGTATTCCCATATATGTATCTTGTGTTCCTGTTTCGTCCCACACACAGCTTGCTTGGTACAAGGGGAGCTCTTCTGTACATGTGGCTGCTCTGTATTGGTTATCAGTAATCTTCACGACTCTGAAGCCTGCTTCGTACAAATAATATCGTATTTCAATTACCTAGATATAGATTTGGTTCTTTCGGAAAACGCTTATCAGTTCGCATAAACCGTCATCACGTCAGTGCTATGACTTTATTGAAAGAGTAACAACAATATAAAGGAGAAAGCAAAACGTTTCAGTCGCGGAAAAATTGCAGATATGCACACCCAATGTACACCTACGGCCTTCAAGCTTCATAACCATTCCAAGCCTACACCTGGCCGTCACAAGCTTACACCTTTCACATAGCCCTCCCAAGCCTAAACCTTCACACAGACATACCCAGGCTTACACCTTCACATAGCTATCACAAGCCTACACCTTCAACCATTACAAGCTTATACCTTCAAAGAACCATCCCAAGCCTATGCCGCGCTACTATATCAGCTGGCCACACATCAGTATAAAATCTTTCTTATATCCATTTACAGGAATTATTTTATATTATAATTTGTACAAGACGCTTTGTCGATCTAAGACATCGAGCAATTGCTAAACACTGAAACATGGGAGTTGAAATACATTCCGATTTTAGAAATGTACCTACATCTACCTGTTTTCGACCTGATTCGTGGATACATGTATATAACTGGACTATGGACAGCTGATAAACAGCACTATGTAGACCGGCAGTTGGTGGTTTCTAATATAATTAATCATGAGTGCTGTAGTTTTTCTTTAAGTTATGTAGCCATTAGAGTACAAACAGCTAGTATCACTGTAAATTTACCATCATTATGGTTTTCTCTTGGCGGTCTGTATAGACCCGAGATAGACAAATATTCAGCAGGTATACCCTTTGGTGCTACATTTAACAACATTTTTGGTACTCTAACACGTTCTTTGCTGACAGTTATATACGATTATTGGTGTACTTCTGTTAGATTAAGACTATAATATTCAAGATTTCAGTTAAGCAACAAACAGATAAGAATAATGTGAGAAAAATTAAGCAAACTACAAAGATCTTTTCTCTCTTGTGAAGTCTTGGTCAGACATACCAGAAAAGCATGGCAACAAAGTCGACGCACGTATCTAACAATGCTAATATTTCACATTTTAAACGCCCCATTTCATAAAAAGATTGCCTGTACACTACAGAACAGGGATGTCAGCAACGAACACTAATGTAGGGGCACTTGAACAAGTAGAAAACGATAGAAATATTCAGTCGAATGCGCAATCTCGGGTTCCCAACAGCCAGCCATATTCTCCACTTTCTCTGTCACCTTCATTTACGTCAAGATACCCAAAGCTCGAGAGATAGCAGGTGGCATGGGCGGGATTCATGTCTACACTACACAAATAGTCTGTGGTAGCTGTACATCTATCGATACTCTTTTCGGGGGGAGTACCTGTGTTTTTCTTCATTGTTGTGGGAAGTTATGGACAACCCTTCATATATAGACATAGTCTTCCCATATGTGTTGCACTCTGAAACACAAATATGTGAGTTAATGTCTGTTGCTGACATATGTAAATAAAACTATGCAAGCCTTAAAACTACATGTATCTGCACTGGCAAGTGAAGGAAAACGTTCAGGGGCCCCTTTCACGAAGCACTAAAGTGATCGTAAGTCACTAAGGTAACCTTAGTGCAATGTTAAGGAATGGGAGTGAAGGTTAACCTTAGTAAAGGTTGCTTCGTGAAAGGAAACCCAGGTCTCTCATCTCCAATGTAAACTAGCAATATAAATTTATAAAGATAAATATTTTTTTCCGCCATTCTGAAGTATTCCATCCTCCCTTCTGGGTGAGAATATTACCGGTTCTTTAAGCATCATATCTTATCAGATAACAGAAATATTTTTATATTTCCATTTACTCATCTTCAGCTACTTACGGATATTTCTAAACAGAAAACAAAATTATGCTGTAATCGCTGTGTGAATTCCAAACGGAAACAGCTTTGCAAATCCTTTTTGAAACATCAACAACACAAATGCAGACACACCTGATTTGCCTCCTGCAATATTATTCTCGTTGTTTGTATCATTGTATTAAGAGTTAAACACCTTAAATGAAGAGCAAAACCCATTAATGATCAATCGCCATACCGATCACTGTTTACATGAGATATGAAATGTATCGCCTTGCAGATCTTAGTGCCTTATAGGAATGAGTGAGTGAGTTAAAATGTTACATCACATCGGCAATTTTACAGCCATATAGCGATGAAATACAAGATAATCAATTTAAAATGTCTGTCGACGAAAGACAGTAAAACCAACTAGACTATCACGGATATATATTCAAAATTAGTAATTAATCTAAAATTCTGTAAACAATAGAGGACGATACAATATAAAAACAGGCTATAGATCGCCAACAACTGAAGGTGGATCACCATACTAAGGACCATGGGGACTTACAATACGTTTGCTTCCTGCATGGACCCTAGCTGGAATTTCACCATCCCTTCAACTGTTAGCAATTTAGATAAATTTAGCCGTACATTAACATAACATATATACTACGATTAAAAATAGTAGTAGGTATAAATACACGTTGAATGCATTGGGACTTCCGTACCATCTCAGGAGGACAATAATTTTGCAATAATTCAACCCCCCTTTGGAGGTACAGCCACTTACAAACTGAGTTACTAATCTAACCTACCAATGATAAAATTTTCATCTATTCCTCAAAATGTATCTCATATTTCTATTTCTTTTAACAATTCGATGATTATGTGAAAATTAACAGTACTAAAAAGATCCTTCACAGTTTTTACATTGAAATACGTGCCTTATGGGACACATCACACTTTGTTTGTAGAAAGACCAATT